TGGCAATCGTGTTTGAAGCGGCGACGGCATTTAAGGCCGCTTTCTACTCTCTTTTTAACTCTAAATCGCCTAACTTCAGCGAAGTGAAAACACATGTCAGCGTTCTGATCTGTTTACATCTGAAGAATACTCTCTATTCCTCGCTCCCCTCCCTCAGGATTAGTTTCTGAGCATGAGCAGATATGCAGGCCAAAATTACGCATGCGTTACCGGATGTCCGTGATTTACGGACATCCAGTAATGGCTGCTACCAGAGCCCTCCGTTTCTCCGACCACGTGACCAAAAGAAACGGAGGCTCTGGGGATGAGAATGCACTGGGGGTGGCAGTGGAGGTGGGATAGAGAGAGGAGCAATGCTCCATGTTACCCCATGCCTGATGTCCCACATACAAACTTGTGTCCAGAATGCAAGAACTGACAACTTGAAAACAGACGTTACCTAATGTGTTGTTCATTTTGTACAATTTCATGTCATGAGCCTTGACCTTTTTTCCTTCTCCTTTCAGTGGCCCTGTTGTTATCAGCATCTACCATTGATGATCAAGAAGCTGCTAAGCTTATGGAAGAAATGGCAGAAGAAGTCAAAGCTGAAGGAACAGCACGTCCAAAGAATAATGTTAGTAAACCATCTTCAACAAAAGATAATGCTGCAGTGCTTCGGAAAACAGCAAATCCCAAAGATGGTGCATCTAAACCGGCTTCTAAAGGTGTAAGTTGCACAGTCAAAAAGACAAATCCTTTGTCTAGTGTGCCAAGTGTTAGACCTACTGTATCAGGATGCAGTCCATTGACAAGCAGGAGAAACCCCACACAGGTGAGTGTTGGTTTTTGGTTGTGTGTGAGGTTCTGAATGCTTCAGTGCAGTCTACCCTAGTCAATCTCTGCTTACATCAAGTTTTTGGAAGAATCCATGCTGGCAAAGTGTTGGCTGTATATTGAGCTGCATTGTATGAATGTATATGTACACTAGAGTACAGCTGCATTTGTTCATTGGTATGTTTTAGAAGCAATCAGCAGTCAGCTTCTGTAAATATTGTTATTATTATTATTATTATTATTATTATTATTATTATTGTTGTAATTATTATTATTATTATTATTGTTATAATTGAAACGCACTGCTAATATAATTTATTCTTTTAGGCCAAACCTCCAGGAAGGTCTGGTGTCACAGCTGGTGCAGAGGATGGCAGATTGAAGCAAATAAATGACTACAAGAAAAAAATTTCACACATCAAAAACATTGATTCCAAGTTAGCCAATCACATCTTGGATGAAATAATAGAAAGGTACATGTATTTAGCAATGTGTGTAGATACAAGCATTGTTATGCAAATAATGTGATGGGTCACCAAAGTTCTTGATTCACCTTGGCCTAGTGTTTTGGTTTGGACCTCTAGTGGGACACAGTTCAGAAACTACATGTAGATTGTACCTTGTACATGTACATTGTAGCTTGTAATGTGAGGACGTTAGCGTTTCTGGATTAATTAAAGAGACTAGAGGTCATAAAAAAATATGGATTGTGTTTTTGAAATTTGTTTTGCATGTGAACCACTACTCTTAGTTCTTTATAAGTACCAGTTGGTTTAGTGCTAGTGCTGAATTATTTGATCAATTCAATACATTGTTCCATGGCATTCTCGAGCAACTGAGAATGCCCACTTAAAATGGTCACAGGTGTACTCTGTGGTGATGACTCTGAGAGATTGATTGGCTGAATTTCAGTAGCAAGAGCTGCCTGTTATGGACTTTTTTGGTCATTTGTCAGTAACTAGTTTTAGTACTGATTTTGGGTCACCTTCATGAAGTGTACTGTAATATGTATCATATCATTAGTTGGCATATCTTTACACTTCTAATGGATTAACAGTGAGAATAAAATTACTACATCAAAAGTAAATAAAATTATATTTTATTGGATTTTTGTCATAGACCATCTTTTAGACAGACTTTACATTTTATATATTTTTTATTTCAGTGGGTCCCCTGTGCACTTTGACGACATAGGTAAATTCCTCCATGATGTTGATATCCAGCTTATATAATTAGACCAGTCATCTCTAAGCACTCTCTCTCTCTCTGCCTGTCTGTTTTTCTGTCTGTCTGTCTATAGGTCTGCCTGTCTGTGAAAATATACACTGAGAAACACTACACAGGAAAATGCCTTATTATTACTAAGATTTTTTAAATTAATTTTACAGCTGGTGCAGAGAATGCTAAGAAACTACTTCAAGAGATTGTGATCCTTCCGTATCTTAGACCTGAGGTACTCTAGCCTTCATTTCATATGTTGTATAATGGTTTTATACAAAGCTATAATTGACATCACCTAATAATTTATTTTCTCATGTTTTTTTTCTTTTCCTAAATTAAAATGATGTTGCATAGATGACTGAGTGTATATATCTTTTTATATTTCTGAACAGCTTTTTACTGGTTTAAGAGCTCCAGCTCGTGGTCTTCTGTTGTTTGGTCCCCCAGGAAACGGAAAAACAATGTTGGTTAGCTGACTGTTATTTTTTCTCATAAACAGTTTTAATTCTTTTCACCATTTACATGCAATTTAAGTGGTTTGAAGCAAACTTTGTACTTTGTCCAGTGATCTTGTAGCCAAACTTGATCTTTGTACATACTTAATTCAGGATGAAAAAAAAAAANGATTTTCGGAGAATTTTATCTGGAATATGCTTACATGTATTTTGGCATACAAGTACTTGTACTTTCAAGTGAAAATACCGAAGGAGTTTGATTTGATCTTAGACTTTATGTCTGTGCTGAAGAACTTACAGGACACGTAAAAGCGTGACAAGGACAATAGTCACGCCACTTCACGTTGTCTTATGTGGTCCTGTGTGCCATTTGTCTTTGTTCTTGTCAAGTATGTTGTGCATTATGAGAGCACAAACGCACGGCTAAATGAAATTTGTTTTCTCTGACAGGTTGGTGAGGGTGAAAAACTTGTTCGAGCTCTATTCGCTGTCGCTAGAGAGCTTCAACCAAGTATAATTTTTATTGGTAAGCAAAGCAAATCCCCCTTGTGGGGGATACTTCCTTATATGGGCTATATAAGTATCTGCAATCCCAAAGGGTATGGTTTTCTAGCCGTTTTGGTTAGAAGTACATGTAGGGTATCGATTTTGGTCAGTTTGGTCTTAAATAGGGTATCAAAGTTTTGGTCAGGTCATAAATAGGGTAGGGAAAATCGCAGATTTTGGTCNCCCCCCCCACCACCACGCCGGAGGCAAACACTTGATGTTTAGCTAATCGTTTTTCACGTGGGTGTTTTGTAATGTGTGTTGGACTTGCTCTTTTCAGATGAAGTGGATTCTTTACTCTGTGAGAGAAAAGAGGGCGAACAAGAGCACAGTCGAAGAATGAAAACAGAATTTCTAGTGTCTTTTGACGGAGTGAGTACTCTTATTGCTGGTAATAAAGCCTATGGAGAAATAAAGTCCTGCTCAGTTAAAGCGAAAAGCAAACTAAGCATTACCTCGAATGGCTTCTGAGTAGAATTTCTGATCAGAATGTTGACAAGGGTTTTTTTTTTTGGACTTTTTTCAGGTTATTGCTGACCCCAATGAGAGAATATTAGTGATGGGAGCCACTAACAGGCCACAAGAACTTGATGATGCAGCTCTTAGGTAGGTCTGTGGGACAGCCTGTTGGTAGATCTGTGGTTCTATGCCCTTGTTTGCTTGTAACACAAACTTGCGGCATTTTGTTTGGTTTCGCGTACAGTTCCTCGGTACCTGTCTGTTAACTCCTGTATAAAGACACGCATTGTGAGAGAGTAAAGTGTCTTGCCCAACAACTCAACAATGATCTTAACCAGGGCTTGTTGAAATTTGGAGGATAGCTTGATCCAGAGTCCAGCATCTCTCATAGATGCTAGGCGTTCAGCTGAAAAATCTGTGATAAATCAACCACTGCAGTCTTGATGTACTTTCACTTACCTGTCTAGTTTTTTTCTTGATTTGCAGGCGGATGGTAAAAAGAGTATATGTACCGCTACCGGACAAAGAGGTTAGAACTTGCTGTTCTTGATTTATATGTAGGAAGCTGTGTATATTAAAAGCCATTTATGAAGTCTTCACAATAAAAGTAGCAAAAACCAAGATACATTTTTATACTGTCTATGGTATAGACGCTTTATGAATGCGAAATTACATAGGCCATTCCGAAATTCCGCAGGTAACTGGAGCGAGTTTCAAAATTGTTGTTATGAATATTTGTCGAGTGGGATCTGTTATCACTTTGATGCCAAAATGACGCGCAAGATAAGTTTCCAGTTTTGATTTCTTGCTTTTTCTTTGCCTTCAGACAAGGAAAGTCCTTTTGTACAAGCTTCTAGTAAAAAATCACAATCCACTATCTGAGAGTGAAATGGAGACGTTAGCCAGGTATGTTGATTTAGAGGACGAGTAGTCCATCTTTCGCTTAGTCCTTCGAGCGTGACCGTAAATAAGCCGCGAGAAAAAAAAATGGCCGCGCGAAATTTCGCGCGGCAATTGTTTTTTTCGTGGTTTGCTCTCGCGTCGCGCACGATGGATAAAGCGAAAGAGGGACTACTCGTAGTCTAATTTTAATAAAGCACACCCACCAAGAAGTCCGAATCATAGCGGTTAGTTGTTTTTAAGAAAATGCAACTCGCAAGTGATGTGAAGAGGACGGAGTGTAAGAGAGTTGTTTCCCCCAAATAGGCCTTATTAAGGGGGAGGGGGCGGTACGTTGGGACTCAAACCTATATGGGGGGTTAACTCTTTTACCTTTCGTTTCTCTTCATGGTGATTATTACTGCCTGCAAGAGGTACGGAAAGGTTCCATTGTACATACTGCATAATGTACAGTATATGCATGTATGAACGATGTTTTAATGCATTTTTATGTTTTTTACTTATAACAGGCAAACTGAGGGTTACTCTGGTAGTGACCTGACAGCCCTCGCTCGTGATGCAGCGTTGGGACCTATTAGGGGTAGGTCATGAGTTTTGTTATTATGAGTTCATGACTGAAAATTAAAAGTCTAACTAATCAGCGTGTTCTTCTCTGTTTTCAGAACTTCGACCCGACCAAATCCAGTCCGTGGACGCAGCTAAGGTGAAGTATTCGATATTTAAGACCTTTGTTTGGTACTTGAATGCTAACGTTTAAACTGGGGCGCCTTCTATTCGACCAAAAATTCCGGATTAATGTTTGAAACGGGGGCAAATGGTGCGGACAGTGGTTGGGAAAGTTAACTGAATTTCCGAGGCGAACCATTCAACGGAATATTCTGGAAATTTCGGGAGCAAACTCAAATGGTACAGAAACTCTCGGTGAGAAATTTTCGAAAATGTGGTTGTACCTCCTGAGGTTGTGCTCTTTTCCGAAAAATGTTGTTCCATTCGGCACTGTAAAATTTTGGAAAATCAAACGGGCATTTTTGGTCGAATGGAAAGCGTCCTTGAGCTTAGAGGAATTCTGAATACTCAGCCAAATTGACATCTTACTTAGTGGTTTTGCATTCGTGTAGCTAATACATATATGTTCAAGAAATTCTTGCTCTTTTCAACCAATTAGGAAACAAACCAAAACCAGTTGTGTCTTAGCTTGGCCTGTTTCATCGATACGGGCTAATTAGAGGAGTAGAGATGGCGCAGTGGTGAGAGCGCTCGCCACCAGTGTGGCCTGGGTTCGATTCCTCCCCGGTGCCCTATCTGTTGTTGATTCTCGCCTTGCTCCAAGTGTTTTTCTCCGGGTTCTCTAGTTTTCCTCCCTCCACAAAAACCAACATCATTCTCCAAATTCCAGTTCGGCCAGGATAGAAGACCCGCATAAAAACCAGCTAAGGTTGATTGTAGTTTTGATATTAAAAAGAGAATGTTATGTTGAGAAGTCTTGCGAGAAGAAACTTTTTGAACAATTTTCTTTTCATTTCAGGTTCGTGATATTCAATATAGCGACTTCAGAAACTCATTGAGAGTAATTCGACCCAGTCTTTCGCCCCATTCATTGAAATTCTTCGAGGAGTGGAACAGTTCTTATGGTAGCAGTGCTTAGGGACTGACAGAAGTGGACTTCTGAGCACCGGCTTAAATGGAACAAAGAATGAGTGATTAACACCCTGTTTACACCAACAGAACACGTTTAGTTAAACCCTGAAGATTAACGAACTTTAAAGCTACTTGAAAATTTCGATAATAAGCCAGCTTTTATCTACAGAACGTCTTTAAACCAAGGTTAACTAAACTGCTTTTAATGTGAATGGGGCTTAATATTAAAGGAACTCTGCCACGGCATTTTGGCCACGTACGAGTACAAAATTACCTTAAAATTGAAAGAAACCTGAAAATAATCGTTTACCGAGAAAGAAAAACACCAAAGAGATAATAATAAACCATAAAGAAACAAGGATGGTTAAGGATGGAGAAGATTAACACGGATTACAAACGGTGAACTTGAAAAATTCAACATGTGCGAACCGTGACGTAGCTCCTTTAAAGAAAAGCTAACCAATAAAGAAGACCGCTGGATAGGACTGATCGTATCTGTGTTGGTGAATCCTCGTTAATTTATTATCGCCTGTAGAAAAGCGTTTGACGCAAATACAAAGAATGGTTGGATCGGCTCAATAAAAAATAAAACAAGGAGTGAGATGTTGGTTCTTTATAATTTACTCAACAATTCTCTTCTCGTGTTGAAAAATGTTTCACTCGTTCGCTGCGCTCGCTCGTAAAATATTCTTCAACACTCGAAGAGAAATTTCGTTTCTCTCTCTCTCTCTATATTTTTGTTTGGTATGCTTCTTCGGTGGTCCATGTTCTAATATTTTTCCGTCTCGTACATGATTTAAACTCTTACAATTAAAGCACAATCAGCAGCCAGATTGACAAAATCAATTCTTGTTCGTAGAGATATTCTCAAAGTCTTTCTAAAAGTCTTTCACCCAGCCCTTAGTACTTGAGCCAAGTCGGTCACTGGTTTAAAGAGAGTAAAGTTTTGCGTGACGAAAACTTATCTTTTGTACTCCAGCTGAGGAGGGTAGATGGAATATCGAACAAGGAAGTCGGTTCGGGTAGAAATTTTTTCATAATAAGGAAGCTTGTTTCGACAGCAAGTTTTCCATCAAAATCGATTAAGAAAACAGGCTCAAAATTATGTTGCTCTTACTTCTTATTTGTTTCAAAGCACATAGCTCATCGTGACTTGAAGTATTTAAAAATATCTGCGGTCTTGAACTTTGTTGGTATATCATTGTCTGGGGTCGGCCGACCGTACTTGACATCACGTGGAAGCTGTTTGACCAATGAGGGAGACAACGTAACGCTTGTCTGGTGGAGAAGTTGTTAACAAAGGAAAAGGTTTGCAGGCAAAGGTAAGGATAGATTAAAGAATTTATTTTGTTGATCATAAATTAACTAAAGCAGAAGACGGCAGAAATGGTTACTTTTCAATACTAGCACACATGGTTTATATTACTTATAAATAACTTGATGCGATGTCATTTTATAGTTTTGAAGTCTTGTTTGCTCGATCAAATCGAATCGAAAGTTGTTCAGTAATTCACTGGGGCTCTTCTCGAGTACTCAGGCCCTGTCGATTCGTTCACTTAAGACTGGCCCAAACAGATTCACTTAGCTGCAGTGTTGTTTTACGGGCAATGGTTTAGTTACGACCTAAATTCTGCACATTGCAGTTTCATTTGTTAAAGTGTATTCGTTTTACAATTGACTATAGAATTAACTATAGAATAGAACAGAAATACAATTCGGTAAGTAGACCGTGCAAGGATCCTGCGGTACAGCAGCAGATTTTCTAGAAGAAAACATCGCGTGACGAGCCATATGTGTGAACGCCCATCTTGCCCGCTTGTCACGAACACAAAGGAAACTCAAGATGTATAATAATTGATAGTTTTGGTGAATGAATTTAAGCTTTATTTTAAAAACGACGCAGTATGGAAAAATGCAAAGGTTTCCTTTCCGTACCTGAAAGGAAAACCGGATGGTAAATCAGGGCTTCGCAACAAAATGTGGCATGTTGCAACATTTCGTATTGGAAAAACTATGCTGTTGATCCCAGACGTCTGTTAGAATGGCTTTTAATGGCTTTTGTTGCACGCACCATTTCTTTCATTCACGGATTCCAAAAAAAGTGAATGACGACGAATTTCATGATCGGTCTGATCTTATAATGAGTGACTATCAGTGAATCTTCCCTGTCGTCGAAGAAGGTGCTTCCTAGTTTGTTTGCAAGTGTATTTCGTTTGGCACCTCCTAGCAAGATACAATTCAAGAGTTCAACAGATGCAAAATACATCGCATTTTAACCTTTAACATCGAACTTATGGAGTGTGATTGCCATCAAAAATAACAATTAAATTGTGATGTTGAATTTTGCAGGTATTACGATTAAACTATCTAATGCTGATATTTAAATGGGGAGTTGTGGGATTTGAAAATTCTGAGTTTTGACAATCAATTTATTTGAGAGATTTACATGCAATGTGAGAGTTCATACATTTTGTATTCAGTTTTGTCATTCAATATTCTATTTTGACTTTCAGATCTGATATTCAAATATTTAGTTGTGACACTGAAATGTGCAATTCTGAAATGCAACTGAATATCCAACGGTTCTATGCGAACATTCAATTCTGATCTGATATTCAGTCACTGAATCCGGAAATTCGGCATGGTACTCAATGAGCCGAGTAGGACTGGGCTTCACTGATCAGTAAACGATATTTACGATAATTAGTATGCCCGCCAAAACGTAATTTATAAAAATTTATGCACAGTCGGAAAAAGAAAAAACATGACTAGCAGAACAGAATAGAAGAATTTTCAATGCCAAAATTGAATATTCAGATCCCACAACTCCATATTTAATTGTATTAGCATTAGATATTTTAATGGCATGACATTACAATTCAATTTCGATTTTGGCCGTAATCACACTCTACTGACGATCTTGCTACTTTTCAGAATCTTGCCCTAGAACTGCCCTGTGCTGCAAACTGTAGCCAAGATATATGTGTCATCACGTGATCACTTTCACCACGTGACCAAAGGTGCGTTGAAAGGGCTGAAAAAAGACGTCTGAGATCAATAGTATCATTCAATTTTCTCTTTTCTAGACTCGATCATGTCCTCTGAACTAGACCTCTTTTGCCTGTTCCAAACGATTGACGAACATCCGGACCCGATCAGCGCTGAGGTGAAAGATAACCTCCCCTCCTGGCTGACTGGGACCTTGATTAGAAATGGGCCTGGTAGATATGAGTGCGGCGACACTTCCTCCAACCACTGGTTCGATGGCCAGGGACTTTTACACCGCTTTCACATTCAGAACGGCCACGTAACCTACAGCAACAAGTTCATACGAAGCGAAAGTTATGCTGACTCTTTGAAACATGGAGAATCCATCCATCTGGAATTTGGTTCATTTATTCCACCAGATCCGTGCCAGAATATCTTCCGCCGTTTCTTTTCGCGGTTTTGGGCAGATGAAGTTCCTTTTGACAACACCCTTATTAACGTCTTTCCAATGAAGGATAAAATCTATGCAACGACCGAGAGCAATTTCCTATTTGAGATCAACCCTGAAACCTTGGACACCTTAAAGAGAATCGATATCACAAAGGAGTATCCAGGTAAAGAAATAAACATGACACTGATTCTATATGTGACTCTTTTTTCAGCAAAGGAAAGGGCCATTTGGACTTAGCCTGTTCCAGGCTTTCGGATCGAAAAGGCGGGCGGGTGACAAGCGGGGGTCTGGGAGGCGCCCTCTCTCTTTTTGTCGTCCCCCGTCCGCTTTTTCGATCGCCCTCAGTGACCGGAGCAGGCTAACTTGGACTGAACTGAATAAACCAACTGACCAAAATTTAGTCTCAGTAGAGTAATGATAATGTTAAAGTTTGTAACAGCTCTCTCAAGGCTAAAAGATTTTTTCAGCCTGGTGTCTTTCCAAGAGACACCTAGTGATTCTATTGTAGGAATTTTGCCTTAACAGACTTAAGATTCAGCCCATTATTCTTCATTTTCCACCGCCATAGGCGACACCACAATCAATTCTGCTACCGCCCACCCGCACCAGACCCCAGACGGTTCAGTGATCAACATATCTATCACGCATGGCCAGATCTCTACTTACAACATCATACAAATACCACCATCCTCGGGCAAACCTGACGAAAGACCTCTGGACGGGGGTAAAGTGCTTTGTTCTATCCGTCCCACCGGTGGGACTGGGTATATGCACAGCTTCTGCCTCACAGAGAACTATGTTGTGGTTACAGGAGCTCCCCTCATCATGAACGTGTGGCGAATCTTAACTCACAGGTTCTTTGGGTCGTGTGTTTGTGATTGGTTCTACTGGGATGAAAGCCAACCAGCCAAATTTCATGTTGTCGACAGAAAACAAGGGACGCATCTTGGTATCTTCACAGCGGAGCCGTTCCTGGCGTTTCACCACGTAAACGCGTTCGAAAAAGACAGCAAGATTCATCTAGACGCTTGTTGCTACCACGGCAGCTCAATTATGAGTCAGTTCTACCTGCACAATTTGCGATCTCCCAGGGGGCCTGGCGAGCAGAAGTTTGACGTTCCGGATGTGCGCCGATATGAGCTCCCTCTTGAAGACCTTGGAGACGTGGAGCCGGGTACACCACTTCCCAAGGGAGCAGACGGGCTGGATTACACTTTGCTGTATTCAGGAATGGATTTGCCAAGGTTCAATTACAGTGAGAAGAATGGCAAGCCGTACAAGTTTGTTTATGGCGTGGGGGGTGAAGACGAAGCTCTCTTCAGTCTACTGGTCAAGTTAAATGTGGAAACCAAAGAGTTTGTGACATGGAAGGAGCCCCGGGGATTTGTCTCGGAGCCTGTGTTTGTCAAAGTGCCTGATGGGAAGGAGGAAGATGACGGTGTGGTGCTGTCATGCGTGATCAACATCACTGACTAGACCACCTCTCTGTTGGTATTGGACGCGAAAGAATTCAAGGAGCTGGGCCGAGCCGTGGTGAAAAGGATTACTCCAATGGCCTTTCATGGCTTGTTCCAGGACTAGTTTAAACAGGTTGCGGACCTGTAGAAACTGAAATAAACTTTTCCACTTAATTTTCTGAAACAAACTTGCAATTTTTCCCAAGCTCTGTGATTCTACTTCTACTCTAACAATTGTTTTTAATCATAAACAGACACAGATGAATCGTATATATTCAAAACTTATACTTGTCCTTACGACAGAGAGAGGAGATTTCTGATATAGAAATTAAAAAAAAAGGTAGTGATATTTGCCCAGTATTTTGGTTTGGAACTGACAAATCTAGCAGTTATGCTAGTTAACTGTTTACAAAATAATTCAATGGTTGGTCAATAATGGTTGGTCAATAGTGCAGTCGTCGCGCCTACACTGTTTTTCTTAATGAGAATATTGTTTTTCCGGCCCAGGCTGAATATTCATATTTTTCTGCCGATTTTAGGATGAAAATATTCTTGTGAATATTCTTAGATTGTGTTGTATTTACAAATTCTCAACACACAAAATTTTTATACTTTTCAAAATCCCAGCCGCGGTTTTCTTCTTAAAATATTCTTAACTGAATTTCGCAAATTTAAGCCTCGACATTCTTATAAAATGTATATTTTATAAAAAAAAAAAAGAGTGTATTTATTCCTCGCGGCGCCAGTGTTTTGGCTTTGTCAATAAGCTGCGCTTCGCACGCTTTTCTTATATGACGTCACCAGGTCATACCCACTGTGAATGAGTACCGAGGGGATGAGATGTATGCTGTTGACAGACTGAAAATAGGATATCATAAACTACTTAAGGATTGAAACTAGTAGATATGATCAAATTCTAGTGGTTAACGGACTCTGCCCTATTTGTAAATCTAATCAAATTGAAGTCGAATCTCACCTTCTTATTTAACAAATAAAGAAGCCTAAGCCGTGTATTACCCTGTAATAAAACACGACGGGCAATTGAGACACGAGGGAAATGTAGAAAACACGAGCCGCAGGCGAGTGTTTTCTTCATTTCTCGAGTGTTCTGCATTTCCCTCGTGTTCTCAAATGCCCGTCGTGTTTTATCACAATGTCATAAACGGATTAGGCTGCTTTATTTGTTAAATAAACACCCTATTGTAGGAGATGATTCTTTTTAGATCTTTTTAGAAAAATACAACATATCGTTCCGATTTTTAAACAATTATCTTCATCACAAACCATCGGCGAATTTATGACTTCTACAAATCATTGTATTAATATTGAATATGCAAAATTCATTGCATCTTGCTTTGATCTACGCAATATTCTTCTTTCAAATCAAGCCTATGTAACTTGCTTGCTGTATCATAATCTTATTATTTTTTAACGATAACCATTACTGTTTTAGTTTTAGTTTACAAAAGCTCTGGCATCACTGTATGTATTAATGGTCATGCAAACTAGTAAAGCTCAGGTTGTTGTTATACGCCCGAATCTTTGTAACATAAGCATTATCAGATTTTAGATCCTTTAAATTTTATTACGAGCAGCTAGGAAGAAGCAATCTAGTTTATAACTTCAGACTGTCAACCTTTTTAGTCTTGTTTTCAGAGGCTCTACGTACCAGCATAATTACATGAAAACCAACCCGCATTATCAGGCCATTCCCGCGGAACCCTGTTTGGCCTCGGTTTCAAAACGAGTCCACGTTTTGAAATGAGTCAGTGAATTGCATAAAAATGAACCCTTACGAGGAACACATCTTCATACGAATGGTTTCACACGAGGACTCGTTTTAACGCAGGCAAAATTTAAACGGCAATCCTCAGTGCTTATTGTCAACAGACAACAATTACAAGAGACGAACTTTGCACTGAGGAGCAATAGGTTACTCATTATCAGCTGCTTCGAAATCTCCAGCTCGCTGTAGTTATTTTGAGTTTTCATGTTACCAAACTGATTGGTGACTAAGATATAGAGAAGTGAATCTCATGGTAAAAATTGAGCTGGGTGAGGTGAGGTTGGGCAATTTACCATAACTGGATTCCCCGAGAAAAATAGTGGAAAAGTGTTTTTCGAGCAACCCCTCCACGTCTACTAAACGGATACTTGAAATAAAGGATTTGCTCGAAGAAATTTACCCTTCAGTTCCCTTCTCGGAAGTCGAAAATGTGCCACCGAAGAAAGTGTGCATTCTGAGGTCGAAGGTAAAGTTATTTTCCAATAATTATAGTATATATTCACGAGTCTCTGCAGTGGCTTCATAGCAGGAAACTACTCAGTTAAAAGAACGCGGAAGGCGGCCTGTTTCAGCTTAAGCGGAAGTCGGGTCAAAATTCGAAAAAGACAGCGTAGATTTAGGGAGAAATGTTCAGTTAATGAAATGAACAGGCTCTTCCGTTACTATTTTTCATACTATAACTTAAAGTTAAGTCACGAGATTCTTTAGAGAGGCCCTTCCGTCGCTAATTGTACTTTTATTTTCGTGCCCTTTGTCTCTGGCTTCAAAGACCAGGGATTGCGTGACGAGTGACTGATCAACACCGGAGCGCGTGTGTCATCAAGGAAGCACGTGCTTGGCAGAACTCTGAAATAGCTCAATGTTCAAAACTGTTGTTAAGTGCGGTTTATTACATGACACCCACGGACTTGATTTATCATGCAGGCAAAGTGACTTTTGTGCTCCCATCCAATCGGAGTATTTTTTATCAAGGTAAATAACTCACTTCTCTTTGGCGAGGAGGTAAATTTTATTGTTTTGGAACATTACGTCATGTGAAAAAGCTGTCAACTGATAAAAGAGGCGAGAGAGCAACTCAGCGTCAGTTTTAAAGGCAAACGGGGAAGTATTCCATAAACGGGGAAGTATTCCATAAACAAGCGCGCGGGTTCGTTGGAAGACATTTTCAAGCAAAGGTACCTACACATTTGGTCTTCATAATGCTGTCTCGTTGATATTGTTGTTGATATATTGAAGGCATTTAAAAGCTGTTCAGGAAGAACTGTATTTAGATACTAGAATCCAAACAAATTATTGGGGAGACCGATAAATTTTGTCTGAAAAATTAGAGATAATCATTGCAAAGGAATATGGTCCGCTTAATTTCCTAAAACGTTTATTGTGTGAACATGAACAGCGTTGTCACAGAACGTGTTGCTGCGCTTATAATATTCGTTTGTAAATCGTCGCTACAGTAAATGCGGCCGACGTTTTTCCGAAAAATTATAAATATCAGCTAGTAGCGACGGCCAGGCATGAATTCAAAGATTAGAGGAGTGCGTTCACGTGCGCACTTTGCATGTTTGGTCTACTTTGATGGCGTTCGAATGGCTCGATGGAAAACTATTTCCACTGTAGTGTGAATTTTTGTGAGCCCGGCAACCTGGTATAAACTTGCACTGGACAAAACAGTTTCCAGAAAAGGCATCTTAACTGTTTGCGACTTAGAATTCAATTTCAGATCGCCAACACTTGTAACAAATATGATTCTTCCGACAATAACGTTTTGACTAGCGACCCTGCAAGACAGCGAATCGCCAAATGTTTTGTATTTGTTTACATTGCTCGAATTTACATCTTGTTCAGTTTCACAAACGAAAAAGGTGAATTGTCCATTCTCACCACAAAACAAGGCCTTTTGGTGAGTTACACAACACGGAAAAAAAAATTATGGGCACAACGAATTTGCTGAGCTACGAATCGGAAAATTTATTTTCTAACTACAGATCTGAGGGTCATTATGGCCATTCGTCGAATTTGTTTTCTTACCACAATTCATGGCCATTTGCCGTCGCCGAGCTACAAAATATTTTTTCCTGATGACACAGGCTTTAGTTACTTGTTGTCGCAGGTTAGCGGGTCAAAATACATGCAGCTATCCAGAAATCGTACACGCTTTCTTCGAATCTTTGCGAGGAACACGTGACTGGNGGAGGGGTGGGGTATATGCACAGCTTCTGCCTCACAGAGAACTATGTCGTGGTTACAGAAACTCCCCTTGTGATGAATGTGTGGCGTGTTCTCACGAGAAGGATCTCAGAGACGGGTTTTCTTGATTGGCTCTACTGGGATGAAAGCCAGCTCGCCAAATTTCATGTTGTTGACAGAAAACAAGGAACTCGCCTTGGCACCTTCTCTGCAGATCCGTTTTTCACGTTTCACCACATCAACGCGTTCGAAGAAGACGGCAAAATTTATCTGGACGCCTGTTGCTACCACAACAGCTCAATTGTGAATCAGCTTTACCTGCATAATTTGCGATCCCCTATGGTTCCAGGCGAGCAGAAGCTTGACGATGCGGATGTGCGGCGATACGAACTTCCTCTTGAAGAGCTTGGAGATGCGGGGACGGCGAAAACTCTTACAAAAGGAGCTGACGGGCTGGATTACACTTTGCTGTACTCGGGAATGGAGTTGCCGAGGTTCAACTACAGTGAGAAGAACACCAAGCCGTACAAGTTTGTTTATGGCGTAGGGGACGTTGACGGAATGATCTTTGGTCACCTGATCAAGTTGAATGTGGAAACCAAAGAGTTTGTGACATGGAAGGAGCCTGGTGGATTTGTCTCGGAGCCTGTCTTTGTGAAAGCGCCTGATGGGAAGGAGGAAGATGACGGCGTGGTGTTGTCATGCGTGATCAACATCTCTGACCAGACCACCTCTCTGTTGGTATTGGACGCAAAAGAGTTCAAGGAGTTGGGGCGAGCCGTGGTGAAAAAGATTACTCCAATGTCCTTGCATGGTTTATTCCAGAGAGAAATGATGCAGTATTGTAGTACTGCATAGATCAAACGTTTTCCGTTTCGGTAACACTGTTTCAAACTTTGCAAGTTTATTTAAGATTTTTCTTCAAGCTGTTAGAACTTGTTACGTAATTAAAGGCAGAGGGGAGTCATAAACCAGACTCATTATACCAGAAAATGAATTAGAAGCTTAAGAACGAGCAGTTAATATATATCTCAGTTACTACACACGCTGTGATTGGTCCGGCACTTAAGCGGGCTACATTATTTTTCTGTACTTTACACCTGTCGATAGTACCATGAGTCCTGGCAGGCATTGCGTTTATTAGGAGTTGTTAGTGATTTAAGTTGTTTTCTGGTTTACGTTTACAGCACTAATATCGGATGATTGAAAATGAGCGTATGAAATATTTTCTAAAGTAAATCGTATTAGTTTTCGTTATTGTAGAACAGAAGGAACGAAATAAGCCTCTTGTAGCACAAGTGCACGCACAAGGAAGCTGTTGATTGGAAATTTAATTTATATAAAGACTAAGCTGAAAAGTATTTTAGTTTTGGAACTATGAAATACTGGAATATTTTAGGCGAAAAAAATGAAAACAGCTGTAGACCGGGCTTTTCTTAGACTATTCCTCTCAGGGTATTTGAGTGTATTACTGAAAAAAATTAGATATCATTGCCCTCGATAAATTGTTATCTCCACCACTCCACTTCCCCAAAAGGAATAAACATCTTTTAAAATGTTTATTGTTTTAAGAAAACGTAATAGCTTTTGTACGCATTGCGGACCGTCATCTCCTTGACAATGAATGAGTTGCCAGTAATCGGATACCCGTGTTTGCGCAAAGAACTTTGGGATCGTCCGGGGGCAAACATTCCAAGTCGCTAGGAGGAAATGTATGGCAAAAAGTTGTTTTGACGCCCAAAAACATGGTTTTGGGGAGAGATCAACGCTTATTCGCCGTTGTTTTATCGCAAATGGATTTTGGCGATATTGATACATGGAAAATGTAAGATTTTGTTTGAATAACCGTGAAATAAGTGATACAATTTACCGATAAACTCCCTTTTGCTTGCGTGAGGTTTATTGTGAAATACATTGAAGAGAATATTGAAAATTTCAATACACGCCTGAT